ATGGGATCTGAATGAGACACTCCTAGTGATGGCTGCAGTTCCATAGTGGAAGTGATGGGGAAACAAAGGTAGTAGGTATCTGCTCTCTGGTTTAAAACCAGTTTGAGTTTGTCTGCCAAAGACCGAAACACTCTTAGGCACTAAGCCACATACCCAACGAACTTATAGTCTCTACCTACTGGAACGTATTTAATGTCCCCCCAAACACAGTTCAGTGAATACCAGCCCATTAAGATTGACAAGAAAATTGTGAGATTCTGAGAATGTAAACCTTAAGGTCACATGGTCTGTAATAAACCAGTAGAGTCAAGATTCACCCCCAGGTCTCATGGCTTAACTGCTTTTTCTCTCAAGTTACCTAACTGGGAAATTGGGGGGAAATGGATCTTGATATGAGAGTAAGGAACCAAGACCGTTTCTTACATCAAAAACTTCAGTAAAGCAAATCAACCAGAGCATCTGTAGCAGGTCCTGTTTGTTGGCTATTTGAAGGGATGTGTTGCTTTGTTCCCTAGCTCAAGTCCAGGCTTCCTCCATGAACTTCTTCCAGTAAGGAACATGTTTTGTCAGGCACCAGTTACAGCCAGTCCCAGCCAGTCTTTTGCTTGAAGATATTGTGATCTGCTATAAACCTTTCTGTGTATCCCCACATACTGGATGTCCATCATTTCCCTTAAAGGCTTTTACCTAATAGGCAGATGCTCATGTAATACTTCTTCTTCCCCTTACCTACAACTGTGTAGACTTTATTGCAGCAGGGAAAGGATGCTGGAGACTAAATTCCAGTTCTAACTATCAGTGGTTCCACCATCACAGGCAAAACCTTTAATCTCAAAGTTTGAGTTTCTGCCTCTAAAATTAGTACCATTCCATTTCCTATTTAGAGCTGTCATGAGGATTAGGAGCAATATATTTAAAATACCAAGCACATAGCTGGTGTGCAATAAATGATAGTTATTTTTATGTGACAGACACACCTGCACAGGAGACAGAATGCTCGGGTGCTTGCTAAGCTACCATCATTTGGAAAGCAGATGTCAAGGCCACAAATGTCTGATGGATAGTGAGTTCTCAGTGCGTTTAACCTATTTGCATGTTAGGTAGACAGGTCTCTTGCTTGCATGTCCTTCAGCTCCTTCCCTTTTCCCATCACCACTGTCTTGATTCCTCTAGCTATCCTTGTACAGAATGTCCTGCTCTGGTTCCATCCACCACCATCCACGCTCTGACTCACTAGCACATCTTTCAAGAAGCTTCCACATAGAAATAGCAGGGTCCCTGTGGCTCATCAGTTCTAATTGTTCTGGGTCATAGCTCTGCCAGGCAACCTTTGGGAAGATTGTTCATCTGTCACTATTCCTAAATAATGGCATTATAAGTGACATAGCTGCCATTTCTCACCTGCTGCTTATGATCCTCAATGCTGCCATTTCCCATCTCTGGGATAGCTATTCCTCTGTCATGAGTAACAGTCTTGTCTTTCTTTGAAAGCAGTAAGAGAGGTCCATTTCTTATACCTCACTTTCTCCTCTCTATAATGGGACTAATTACTCCTAAATTTAATGAGAAAGTACTGGCCAGTTCACAATGTCATTTCCCCTACCTTCATGATTCGCACGTGTGTGTGTGTGTGTGTGTGTGTGTGTGTGTGTGTGTGTATTTAATTTAAACCCAAGCGAGTTAGTAAGTATCAGTTCTTGTTCCTGAATTTTCATTTATTTTTTAAGGGCTTAATAACACATTAAGTGCAGGGTGGAGGCTCCAAAGAAAAATACAATTTTAATGAAAGTTTGAACTCTTGGTTGTGATTTCTAATTCCTCTGTAAGCAGTAGGCAACCTGGGCATTGGCCTCCTCTCCTTACTCCTCCCTTTAGTCTCCTGGGACAGATGGAGCAAGCACCCTGCACTCAGAGGCGCAGCATCATTTTTGCGGAATGAGGAAATATTCAGGCTGTGAGCTGATAACAATTTAACAGGATTTCAGCTCTATCTGAATCCTGGAGAGAGGGCGGGCAGGCACTGTCTTGACTCAGAAGCTTCAAGTGCTGTGAATATTCTATGTATAATAGCTGAGGCTCCATTCAGCTGCTCTCAGCCACCTCTCCCAAAGGACCCCACCTGGAGGCCTTGGGTTGCCCTGAGCCTGACCGGTTCAGACAGGAACCTCACTCTGTCCAGTTGGTATCTCTCTCTTTGTTAATAAAATTGGTATTAGGTGTATTAGGGAATGGACCAGGTTTCTGAGTCATGACATTTGGCAGGCACAGGTCAAGTGAAGGGCATCCTCTGAATTGGACAGTGTTCAGATGAGATCTAAGTGCCTGGGTTAGGTCTGCAGCCATGGCTCTGAATCCTTGTACCTTCCAGACAGACATAGCCAGTAGGACTCCATCCCCTTTTCCGTGGTCCATGGAGGTGGAAATATCCTTAGTTAAGACCAATTATTGAATTTATACCCACTGACCATTTTATACTAGACCACTCCCACCATCAGCTGTGCCAGCCCCATGTTCCTGGTGCTTGGTACTTCCTTCCTCCATTCCTACCCAACATTCCACGCCTCAAGCATACCATCCCTAAGAGCACACAGGCATTCATAGGTATTTTGCAAAAGCCATCCTCTTGAGAGTTGGAAAACTCACACAAGGGTCTCCATGGTCGCCAAATTTCCGGGCAGCCTTGGAAACTTGATTTAACCTTTCAGGGCCTCTTGTTTCTTCAGCTCTTAAAGGGTGTGGAGGAAAGCAAGATCCAGTGATGTGCTTCAGAGGGAAGTGCCGTGCAGACTGCAGTGCAAAGGGGAGTCCTGCCACAAGGATTTGTGACGTGCCCTTTTGGAGCTGAGGTCACTGACAACCTCAGTGGGTTCTGAAGAAGAGGGAGGGAATTCTCTCAGATAGCCAGGTGGGGCCTGGGGCGGGGTGGGGGCCATGCGAAGGTGAGGCCCCTCTGCAGAGGCTGATACCGAACTAAGGTGACTCACTTCGCTGATAGCACTCCTGAGAACGCAGGCTCATTCTTGCCCCATTCCCTATGACTCACTCACACCTCCCAGGATGGAAGACCTTTGGCACCAGGGAAGGAATCTGCAGGTTAAATAGGGAAGAACTTGCCTCAATCTGGACCCTTTAGTCTGAGTTCAGAAAGAACTGTGTAGCCGAAACCAATTGGCTCAGTGGATAGAGCGTTGGCCTGCGGACTGAAAGGTCCCATGTTCTGTTCTAGTCAAGGGCATGTACCTTGGTTGTGGGCACATCCCCAGAAGGAAGTGTGCAAGAGGCAGCTAATCAATGATTCTCTCTCATTGATGTTTCTGACTCTCTATCCCTCCCTTTTCCTCTCTGTAAAAAAATCAATAAAATATATTTTTTAAAAAGAACAAGAGAACTGTGTAGTAAGAAATGAATTGTGTGCTTTAGCCATGCAAGGACTCCAAGCCTAGCTGACTTACAGTCAGAGTGAACTTGGGCACAGTCTTTATCTTCTCCTTGCCTGTTTCCTCCTTCTTGAACCTGCCATAATGATTCCTTCCCTTCCTGAGGTGGCGTGGGGTAACATTTCAATGAGGTTGTGTTTGCCGAAAATGATCCATCCTGTTCATTTCACTTTTTTGCCCGAGTTTAACTATGTCAGGAAATGGCTTTATTTTGCTTGATTGTAGTTTCTGTTTTGCCATAATGAATATGTTTTGCTTTCATGAGAAATAACGTACACAATATATTTAATCCAGTAAAAGGCCAACTGAAGGAAGACAGCAAAGGAAACTGAGGCTCCTCCAATGGCCCAGCTGTTTGGGGGCAGAAGTCAAACTGAAATAGGGTTCTCGCATCTGGGCACAGGTGGGCAGGGCTCCCTCTGCACTACCTTCCAGTTTGTGCTTTTCTTTTATATATATATATATATATATATATATATATATATATATATATATAGCTATTATATATATATATATTTTTAATTTTAGCCCTTGAAGTTTACATTTTTCCCACATTTAGGTCTCCAAGTTAAGAGGTGGTTACTAAACATATACATAGCTCTGTCTCAAAGCATTTGGCATATTTGTCTACAAATGCATTGTGAGCTTTCAAGAGATAGATAGTCAGACATTAACTTAAGCCAAAGGCTTCCCCTTTAACCAGCTTTCCCCAGAATCTTCAAGTCAGGGACACATACATTTTTGCAACCGTCTTTTCTATTCTAAGTGGCTCTAAAGAGACCTATTGACACCTGGGGCCATAAATTCGCCCACCTTTATTGCAGGTCACACCCTTTGTTGAGAACAGCATTTCTACAAGTACCCTCTGCGCCACAGCACAGGCGTATCACAGGGAGCTTCTGACCAGTTGTTAATATTGCTTTGTCCACCTGGAGTTCACAGGAATTAATATCCACGCTTAGATATGTGCTGAAGCAGGAATGGCAAAACTGCCTCCTAAAAATAACAGGGGGTTTCAGTGAAGATAAAGTTAAAAAAAAAAAAAAAAGTAAATCTGATGACCACAGCAAGACGGTCAAAATTAAAAAGAGCAATGAAGGAAAGAAAGGAGGAAAGACGAACATAATATCCGTCAAAACTTGTTTTTGTTTTGTTTGGTTTTTTAGTAACAAAGGGATATGGATTCTCTCATATGGGTGCGACATGGACAGCTATTTTGAGTCAGGGGCAAGTTAATTATATTCTAAAAAGACAGCGTCTCCAGAATTTATTATCATTTCTTTTTTGCAGTGAGATCTTTTAGTTCCTTCATATAGAGACATAATATTACACAATGTTAACAACCATGAAAAAACAATACAAAATGCCCTCGATTTAACAAGTAGAAAAATATACCTAGTATATATGGCCATTGTGAATCTAATACTGTACAGAAGTCATTTATGGATCTTACAAATAAATTATAGCTTAAATGCCTTTTCAAACGTCTTCTCCCCACCCCCTAAGATGTACACACCAGAACTTACAGTATCGGAAAAGGTTCGGAGCCTAGCTTATTGCCAATCAGTGCCAGTCAAAGGTCCTGCCCACGAGCTCAAAGAACTTCTTGTTCGGCTCGTGGAAATACTCGTGCAGTTTATGGAGGAGTTTGGGGTCCACCTGGGGGTGCGCCCGGCCTTTGGACTCGTGCAAGCAGCGGTCCCGCCCGCCATCCCGCAGGCAGTAGAAGCCCTTGGTCTTGTTGAAGTAGAAGTTCGAGGCGTTGATCTGTGGGGACAGCCTCAGGAACCGCTCCACCTTCTGGATCTCGGGGAAGGGGTCCCTGATGAGGCGGTCGCCGTCCACGATGTGGATGCGGTGCAGCGGGAAGAAGCGCAGCCAGTTGCGCAGGTGCACGTGGTAGAGGCTGCGGTTGAGCGCCTTGTAGTCCACGTTGAGCCGGCCGCCCCGCACCAGGACCTCCTCGATGGACGGGTAGGGCTTGCGCTTCTGCACGTGGTTGTACAGCACCTGCGTGTAGTCCGACAGCACGCGCTCCGACGGGTCCCGCAGGATGAGCAGCAGCCGCAGGGCCGGGTTCATGCCGTGCACCCGCGCAGGCACTTTGGGCGACGTGAAGTACGCGGGGGTCTTCTCCACGGTGAGCTGGTGCGGGGCGGACAGGGGCATCTGGCTGAGGTACCAGCCCAGGCCCTGGCGGTAGTGCTCCTCCCAGTCGAAAAAGTGCACCTCATTCTCGGCGGCCGCCACGTCAGGGTGCAGGCTGAGCATCTCCAGCAGCGCCCGGGTGCCACCCTTGCGCACGCCGATGATGATGGTGTGCGGGAGCTGCCTGGCAGAGCCATTGGGGGCCACAGCGCCGTCCGGGGGGGCCTGATCCAGCAAGGTGGCTGCTTTCCACACTGGCTCCTGGGCTCCGGGGTCCGCCCAGGGCGCGCCCCCGGGGCGGGAAGGCACCAGCTGTAGCTGTGCCGCCAGCAGCGCCGCACCCAGCAGCAGCGTGGCCATGCCGGACACCGCGGGGGCTTCGCTAGGCCGCGCGTCGCTGGGGCATGAAGCGCCACCACACGAAGTGCCTCCTGGTCAGGGACACATGGGCGCAGCGAGCAGCCGATTACTAGGAAACAAAGAAGGGAAGATGTTAACCCCCAGTCCACGGGCTGCATGGAGCCAACCACTCTGCAGCCGTGTGCAGGGCAGCCACCTCCCTCTCTGGGGCTCTCAGGCTCCTGACCTGGGAAGCAGGGGCTGGGGCCACATGTCTGTGTTAGGACCAGGTACGGATGGTTTAGTCTCCATGGCAACTCCAAGAATGCTGTTTTGCTCTAAAGCATGGACAATATACAAGGACAATACACAAAGGAATGGGTGTAGTTGTGTCCTAATACAAGTTTAAATATTATTTTTATTTTGTTTTCCAATAATGTATATGCTTCGTTCTATGATTGCAAGAGGGAAGGGGGTAGCGACTTGGCTCTGCAGCCATAGTTTGCCAAACTCGCTGTAAAGGAAAGGATTGGAAAGGCCTTTCGGACTTCAAGAAACACCTGGTCCCAGGCCTAGGGGGAGGTGAGGAGCAGACATTATTCCTGCTCCCTGCCCACCCCCACTCCCCTTCCATCAAGGGCTCCTGATTTAATAGGGCAGGTGAACCTGTTGAAAGATTGATCAATTAGTTTCAATTTTTCACCCCACTTCACCCCACCCCACCCCCCCACCCTACCCCCCCCCCCCCCCCGCATCCAGTTCTTGCTGTGGCCTCCTTGTGAGGGGACTGCCTCACAGTTTCGTTTGGTTTGGCCAATGGCCTGTGGTCAGTCCCAGCCCAGGCAGTGAAAGGCCATGTGTGTCTCCATGGCCTCTTGCTGTGAGAAGAATGGGCCCTGGCAGCCCATGGTCCCAGCAGGAAGAGGGGGGACAGGTGCAGCAGAGCCACCCCAGCTCATGGTGAGAATGCACTCTGGTGCTTGTCAGCCATTGAGTTTTGGGATGGCTTGTACAGCAACGCTCACATGGGAAAGGTTAACAGATGCAACCTGACTGCAGGCATGGACACAATGTATGTTATGATTACACTCTAGGCGGGTCCCATGAGGGCACGTGGTCATTCATTTGGCCTGAAACAGTTGGGGAGGGCTTCACGGCAGAGGAAATGTTTGACGTAGGGCTAGAGGGATAAACATGTGATGTTACCAGAAAGAGCAAAAAGCCTTCCTGTGTGCTAAGCCTTACCATTTATAACAGCGGTTCTCAACCTGTGGGTCACGGCCCCTTTGGGGGTCCAACGACCCTTTCACAGGGGTCGCCTAAGACATCCTGCATATCAGATATTTACGTTACGATTCATCACAGCAGCAACAGTACAGTTATGAAGTAGCAACTAAAATAATGTTATGGTTGGGGGTCACCACAGCATGAGGAGCTGTATTAAAGGGTTGAAGCATTAGGAAGGTTGAGAACCACTGGCGTAGAGACAGTCTGGGATTGGGCACTGGGGTTTCCAGAGCCAGTAAAAGTGTTCGCCATCAGGAGGGCCCACCATCTTTAGACCAGGTTTAAAATTCATGTAGTTTAACTCTTTATATTTTATTTTTTACAGAGAGGAAGGGAGAGAGATAGAGAGCTAGAAACATCGATGAGAGAGAATCATCGATCAATTGCCTCCTACACACCCCCTACGAGGGATGTGCCTGCAACCAAGGTACATGCCCTTGACTGGAATCGAACCTTTCAGTCTGCAGGCCAATGCTCTATCTGCTGAGCTAAACTGGTTTCGCCCATGTAGTTTAACTCTTGTCCAGAATGTGTAAACAGAGAACCATGCCCAGGGCTTCCATTTTAATGATCAAACCAGTTGATCTATTTCCCTCAAATATCAACTGTTTGGGGGGAAATGTATATGAAAGAACAAGCAATTAAATAGCTGGAAACCTCTGGAGAATCCCAGAAAGCTGCAGAAGAGACTTGCAAGATTGGGTGGCATCACTGTTAGGGGAAGGGAAGGGAAATGTTTAAGGCTGACTGGTCAGACAAGATGTGGTTCAAGGTTGGCTTTACTGATTGGATAAGCTCAATTTAATGGGCTATTTGCTTTAATCAATGGAACATTTCAGTGTGTTTCAGGCAAATTTCATTTCCTTCTCAAGTGTTCCTGTAGGTCAACAGAACGTGCCGGCTGTGCTTGCCTTGTACATGGTTTTATGTGTGTGTGCAGATGTACATGTGTGTGCTTTTATAAATTTGTGCCCAACTTCAGGCCTCAACCCTCTCCAACCCTGCCTCGCCTGAGTGACAGAGCTGGAGGCCAGATCTGCAAGTCACATTGTCTGACCATCCTTCCCACTCTGTTAGGAGATATCCTGGTTAGCACCATGCACATCAGAGATCTTTCTCCTAAAGGGGAATTACCAGCAGTCCCAGAGAGAAGAAATGAAATGTAGTGTGCCCTTTCAAAACAGAAATGAAAAATAAAAAATAAATAAACTGGGAAGTTAGTAGCTTACAAGCTCCTCATTTCTACTTTAAACTTTCTAAAAATGTATTTACTTATTGTAAGCCTTTCTTCTACATTCCAAAAATATTTAATATTCAAGCTATAAGGAAAGTAAAAGCTTAGCTACTAGTAAAGTCTTATACACATAGAGACAGAGAGGGAAACAGAGAGAAAAACAAATGCACACACACACATATATATATGAGTTATATATGGAGAGAACTATGTGTATAGCATGTGCATGTGTGAAACTTTAGCCAATTAATATGTATACACATAAACACTGAGTGGTCAGATTATTATGATCTCTGAATGCATAATAATCTGGCCATTCAGTGTATATCCTATATAATATAAGGCTGATATGCAAATTGTCCCCTCGACCAGGAGTTTGACCAGCAGGCAGGCCGGCCAACTGTCCATGTCCCGTCCCCCTGGCCAGGCTGGCAGGACCCACCCATGCACAAATTCATGTACCAGGCCTCATATATGTATATATATATATATATATATATACTTTCGCGTGCACACACACACACACACACACACACACACACTGAGTGGCCAGATTAATATGCATTCAAAGATCATAATAACCTGGTCACTCAGTGTATATCATGTGTATATGTATGCACACACACACACACACACACATACATATACATCTGTATATGTAAATTTACACATAAAAAATATATCACAAACACTGGCCATCAAGAGCCACAGTCTTTTTGTAGTAGTCTGATCATTGTTCAGTGGCACAGACATAATTTCTGGGCCCCTTAATAACACTTGTAGTAAAGCAAAGATCCCCACATTCAGGTGAACCTGTAAGCCAGAACATCTGAGCCGAATGGATTCTAACAGTGGGATTCTGTACATCAAGGCAAAAGAGAGCCATTGAGCCACTGCCTTCCATTTTGTGGGGGAGGAGGCCTTGAGTTGACTTGTCCATGGTCACATGGAGAATCCAGGCTTGAACTTGTGGCTCCTGAGTTATAGTTCTGTGTTCTATCTGCTATAACTTCCTCCTAAGTGTGGGGTCTTAACATCCACTAATGGCAATGGTTTTGGGATCCTAAACCAAAAGATCTCCAAAATTTATCCAGCAATGACAACCCTCTGGCCACCAACTCCAGCATCAGTGGATACCCACAGGGTGAAACACGTTCCCTAGTTCTATTCAGTAGGAGAGTCAAAGGACTTATACAGGTGGTGAGGTCAGGAGTCCTTCTCTAGGTTTGACCTGAGTCCAAGTGACTTAACCTCTCCTAGTCTTGGTCGCCTCATCCATAGAATAGTGATAATCCCACCATCTCTAATGGTTACCTTTGGACTGTGTGTCAATGAGATGCCATGGATCAATAAGCACCATACAAAGAAATCCACTGTGGGCCACACATGCACTTTTTCCCTTCCCAAACAAATACTGACTGGATTATGCTACATATCTAACATTTTACCTAAACATTGCCATGGGTGCCCATTTTTACAAATGTCTTCTCCCTTCTGTAATGCCAACCACAGCCTCCCCACAGCAGGCACGCGGAATGTGAATTGTATAGATGAAAGTATATCACAGTTTTAGTTCATTCTCAGAAAAACTCAAATCTTCACTGGCAATCAAGAGATGAGAGTAGCCCTGACTGGTTTGGCTCAGTGGAGAGATCGTCTGCCTGCAGACTCAAGGGTCCTAAGTTCGATTCCAGTCAAGGGCATGTACCTTGGTTGCAAGCACATCCCCAGTGGGAGGTATGCTGGAGGCAGCTTATCGATGTTTCTTTTTCATCAATGTTTTTAACTTTCTATCCCTCTCCCTTCCTCTCTGTAAAAACATCAATAACATATATTAAAAAAAAAAAGATGAGAATAACCCTTCCATGAGGTGACGATAACCACTATTCATTTATGTGTCCATGGTACTTAGTCAAATCTTGCCCTGGGTCAAATCATGTATTATTACCACTTTTATTATAAATGCGGAAATGACCCACATGTGCACTTTAAAATTTTCCAGGAGCCACGCTAAAAACAATGCATAAAGTGCCGGCTTCTGGTCAGAGTCCAAGCCCCCTACTGTTCCCTTCCAAGGCCTGGGTGATTTCCAGGACCCAGTGGATGCTGGAGTTCCTATTTGCTGATGGACACATCAAATGTAATGGAAAGTAAAGCACATGTCCAAAGGCCCTAAGAAAGACTTTTCATTCAGTGTAAGGGAAACCCAATAGTTTGTCTCTAAAAATGACTGCATCCAAAGTGAGTTTTTCAGCCCCTGGAGAGTCAAACAGAAACCAGATGTTGAAGGGCGGGCTCAGCATTTCTAATGAGAGTTGGACAGGGTCACCTGAGGGTCTAGAAAATATTTTAATTAAAAAAAAAGGAGGGGAAGCAGTGAAATAACCCTTCAAAAATATTTTAATTTTCTCCTTAAGTTTTCTTATTCCATGATTCACATCATGACCTAGATTTCAAATGTAATTAACTGCAATATATTCTCTAAATCCCACCCCCCGGA